AACTGCACCCTTATTACTTTGATAGTGTTTTCTACTCTTTTGTAGTACTTTACATATTAGAGTTATTAGGATAACATGATTGCAATAATGTACCAATAACATGATTGCAACAATCTACTAGAATAAGGGTGGGCCAAAAATAAATGAAGAAGAAAAAAAAAAGAAAAAGAGATCCGGACCAAACTAGGTTGGCACTAGCCCTAACTTAGTCCTCAAGCACAGTTTGTGTCCCAAGCTCTACTTTTTTTAGGCCAGCCAGGGTTGGGCCAGGCTGTCTGGCCCATTGCCATCCCTATAACCATAACTATTAGAATTTTGCAATATTCTAGATAAGTACCTATCAGTACAAAAAATAAAACAAAAAGATTTTTTTTTTTTTTAAAGAAAAAGATTTATCCCAAGTGAGAGCCTCAACAGGCAAAATTGGCTACTGAGTTTGGTTTTGCAGTTGTTCCAAAAGGCCCCTATAAACATTGAATAATGAGAACGTGTAGTTGTTTTGTTTTGTTTTTTGACTAGTGCACTTAATTTTATTGATCAGTAAAAAACAACATGGTTTTTTTTTGGTGACAAGTGCACGTAATTTTATTGATCAGTAAAAAACAACATGGTTGCCTCCCTGTAGACATAGCACAAAATATAATCATACAAACACCAGAAAATATAACTATGAAATCCAATTGGTTAGCACAAAATATAATCACACAAACACCACAAAATATAACTATGAAATCCAATTGGTTAACACAAAATATTCTATTTTCTCAGTAAGAAATACATAATAAGCCTATGAAATAAAGCTTGATTGAGAGAGAATCATATTCCTCAAAAGAAAGGGCAAACTACATTATAAAATCGGGAGGTCACAGAGAGATGTTTGGGTGGTAGAATATGTAGAGAATTCAGATTAACAAAATAATACCGCTTTAAGTTTAATAAAATTTCAATTCAAAGATGCATTCATAATACAACAAGAATCCACCGAGAGTGTGTACAATCAGATATACAGGCCAACTCAGAAAAGAATCACTAAAACCGGATAATTTTTATAGGAAACAAAACTAAGAAAGAGAAACAATAATGATCACATACCAGAAATTGATCACCAAATCGAGCACAAATCTTGGATTTTCAATGACTGAATCTGATGCCCTAATCACTCAACATCGAACTCGAATATGCAGTATGGTGGATTTTTTTGAAAACGCGAAGGACACGAATAAAAACAGCCAAAAAAGATCAAATTTTGGTGTGTTTTCGGTTGTAATCGGTCATTATATAATATTAAATTAATAATTTCAGTCAATAATTGACTGAAAAAGGCTGAAAGAGTAGAAAAAATCGTAATAAAAAAAGAATCAAACATAAACTCACAAGTGTTGCATAATATAACGGCCACTGTAACAACTAACGGTTCACTGTTATGTAAAGGGCGCTGTTTAGTTAGTTCAGCAATTTTTAACATGCTAGTCCGGTTAACTAAAGAATCACCCCATTAGCTATAAAACCAGCCGGTTCGGTACATTCTGGCCGGTTTTGGTCTGGATATTTTATGGGGGGTAAAGCATATCTATTAGAACCCCAAAACTGGGGCTAATCGAAACCGAGAGAGTCTCGATTTCATTCTACCCAGCCGGTTCTGGTTTGAATCGACCGTTTTTTCCCATACTGTTTGCGTTGCTTCACAAAATAAAAAGCTAACTAGACAAAAATACATACAATAGCAATACTAAGGTCAAATCAACCGGTGTGGGTGTGGATGATTTTGTGCAACCAAATTTAGCTTCACACCACACATCCACCGCCGGTGCCAAGCATTGCATGTCGAATGCCCGCAGCTCATGTATGCCAAAAAAAACATTGAACATGGAAAAATAGGGGAAAATAAAAAAAAGGACCCGGTTTCTATGCTACCAAGTCCACATATGTAGAAATGCGGGCCTTTTGATAAATCTATTTTTGAGATGGATTTTTGGACTTAATTTTTAGGGACATATAATCTCTAGCATGATGATCTCTAGCATGATGATCATGAATACAAAAACATAAGTAAATTTTAAAAATTAAAATGATATTTCTAGTAAAAAAACATTTGGATTGTTAGTTTTCATTGTTTTTAGATAGAACACCTACTTGCATCCATCTTTGAGATGAATGCTTTACACTTTTTGGACCGCATATGTATTCATGCAGTCCAGGCCTCATGAAACAATTTTTCAAAAAACAATTCTTAAAAGCCAAATTTTTTTTTTTTATGTTTTTGCAAATCAACAACACAAGCTATCAAATCATATCATAGAGGCAGATACCTATTAGGATTGCCTTGATAAAAGTATTGATTGGATGGTGTAGGTTTCTTAGCTTAATATTTCCCTAAGTAGAAATAATGACCTATCCAAATAGAATTTGTTGAGAGCCACAAAACCAAGATATTCCATGAAAGGCGTTGCTGCTCTCAGCAGGATAAATTCCTTGCCAAAGGATTTTATACTTCGGCGGGAGTAATACTAGATATGTACTTCCTTGAGCAAAACACTTGCCAGGAATATTTTTTAGATCCCTAATTTTGGGATGGAATATCGAGAACCCAGCAACCGACTTCAAAAAATATAGTAAAAAAATTAACGCACTCTTTACGTGCCTGAAAATAGCATCCTAAGATTACCCAGGAGGCGTCCAATTTTTTGAGGTAAAGATACTCAGATAGATCTCAAAATTTAGAAAAAAAAAAAAAAGAAGAAGAAAAAACTCAGATACCTAGTTGTTGCACAGTATTGTACATCAGTGTAGGAAAATTTGGGCATTAAAATTCTAACTGCCCAATTACATTGGAACCGGCAACTGGCAGGTTTTGCTTTCTGGCAATTTTGGTGACCCGACACAGTATTTTAAAATTTTTTTTAGAAAAATTTTATATAAAATCCCCAAAAAATAAGGGATTTTGTTTGTAATGCATTTTTTAATGCTTTTCATCAATTTGGCAAAGATTGGAAATTGTTTTGGCCATAAATATTTATTTTTACATTTTTCCATCTTTTTTTTAAAAATTCAAAAATACCCTTATGTATAAATTGATTATTTAAAATCTATTTTTCCATTAATTTTCAATTTCATTTGGATTTGCTTTGTTTAATCATGCTTTAAATATATATTTTTACATTTTTCATATTTTATTAGATTTGTTTTGTATTTTTTATTTTTTAACACTTTTTTTACTGCCCGGCACTTGCTCGTGAGGCCGGTTGAACTGGCCGGTGTACGAGTTAGTACCAAGTAATAGCTTCTGGCCCTATGTCCGGTTAACCGTTCCGATTTGATTTTTCCAACACCCTTGTA